TTTCATACTTTTTAGCTGGCATGCACAATTACGTAATAGGTATATGCTACGATTTAGTTAATTATTTATAAAAAATTATAATTTCAATAAAACTTTTTTTTTCAGTAATTAATACATTGTGTTTATTATGTTTTATGACATAAATCTGACTATGTGAAGGATAATTTTTATGATAATGTTTGACTACTTGCAGAACATATTGTTTTTCCTCTTCATATTTTGTCAAAATCGAATTATAATCCATCATAAGCCTAATTCCTCTTTCAATCATTTATCATATAAAGTCTGGCACAGAATTCAAGTTCATCTCTATAATCTTGCGTCTCCATCCATGGCGATGGATCGAAACTGATAAAACTATTAGATAGGCAAAAACGATCAAAAAAATTTGTTATCTCTTCGGTCACGAAATCAATAAGGTTCTTTGAGGAAAATAACTTCATTAGTGGGTTCCCACTCTGTATCTAACCAGAGATAGATAGCTGGAATCTTGGATCTGTGATCGGTAACTCTACAGTTACTATCTACGCAGATGGCTCAAAGATGGAAGGCGGTACGGGAGCAGGTATCTTCTCGAAAGATATGCAGATAAGACAGTGCTACCGAATCCCTGCTACTTACAGCGTCTTTCACGGCGAGATATATGCTATCGAAAAAGATGTCAACATTAAACAACAAAGTACAATTCGTCCTTCGAATATCACGATTTTTGTAGATAGGCCGCACTGAAAACAATTGAATCTAAATTCCAAGATACTCGCATCACTGATGAGCATCCAACATCATAAGGTCACTCTTTGTTGGACATAGTACATTTCAAATACTTGGACATAGCAATATTGAAAGGAATGAACTAGCAGATAAGATGGCCTAGCAGATGAGATGGCCAGAAGAGGTTCTGAATTGCATACAGGAGAGGCCGACCTCTCAATACATACACCGATATGTAAACTGATTAGGATAATACGGTGACTAACAATTTATAAACTAACCGCGAAGACTGTAAGGTCGCTAGAATCTTAAGGCCTAAGTTGGACAAAAATAAAACGAAAAGCCTTCAAGGTTTGAGCAAACCTGCAGTTCGTGTGCAGGGGCACTGTGCCATTGCGCCTATGCTCCAACGGTGGCGAGTTCCAACAAGTGGATTATACAGGAGTTGCCAAGATGAAGAGGAGGTAAAATCTATCAACCACTTCCTGTGTCTCTGTCCAGGACTTCAAACAAGCCTACTTTAATGTCTTGGGGATCCTTATTTTACTGGCTTGGAAGAGATAACAAAAGCAAACTTATCGAATCTCCTCAACTTCATCTGGAAAACCAAATGGTTTTACAAGGATAACAAAGGTTAGCAACTCGCATCTCCTGGTAAAATTTTTTAAGGGCATCCCAATGGGCAATATATGTCTCCAAGTAGAAGTGCTGACAACTGTTAGCACGTGCCTTCCGAACATAACCTAACCTAGTGTGGGTTAAAATGTTCACACATATGCTGACTATAAAAATGTATATATCTCGTACAAATCATCCGAGTTATATGTAAATTGATCTCTTAAAAGAAATATTTTTAGTAAGTACATGATTTTCGCCATCCATCGAGAATCTTAGATGGCACCTGGGCGTCATACCTACAACTACAAAATATGTATAGCGTAGCGATCCGAAACCTTGCATTTGTCAAGGGCGGAAACTAAACTAGGAGTGATAAATTGAATCGTTCTGTCTGCGTTATCCCAATTTTGTTGAACTGTGTCTAAAGATTCAACTTCCATTTTGAGACAAATTTCTTCATCGAATTTATTCAAATTAAAATCAATGCAATTTTTAGCCGCTCTTGCTTCGTTTGCTAAAAGGATATTAACTTCAGTCATATTCCCTGTACGACCATTTTCTCTTTGCTTACGAAAAAATTCTTGTTTTGACTACTTTTTCAATTCTACTTAAATATCTATATAAATTATTAAGTAGAAATGTATTATTTTTATTTTTTATTTATGTTTCTTCCGTTTCTTGTAAACATTTGCGATAGCATTGTGCATGCCAGCTAAAAGGTATGAAATAGAAAACAGAGCACAGTCGCTGAACTAATTATTGTGTTTTGCGCATAGTTTTTAACCGATTTTGCTCATCAGTATCTTATTAAAAAGATATTTTAATTATCTATCAAATGAGTATATATTAATAAGTGTTGAAACAAGTAACAAAGATAAAAAATGACCTTGAATTGAAAAATTACTGTTTTTTGTCCTGAAAACCCAACTTTGCTCGAGTGGCGCAACGTCATTTTTAATCCTATTGCTCCAAAACTTTGGGAATATCATTTTTTTGGTCAATCGCATATTCCTAGGGGGTGCGCTCATTAAAAATCGCATTTTAGTTTTTCTGAGCCACCCTAGGTTAACACCAATAACAATTATCGCAAAATTATTTATTCAAAAACTTTGGCAATTAAAATATGATTGGGATGAAAACTTAAATGAGCAAATTCATAATGAATTCGAAGAATATAATAAAAATATACAAACAGTGGAGCAAATTCGAATTCCAAGATGGATGGGAGTCTCGAGTTCAGATAATTGGGAGTTACATGGATTCTCGGATGCATCTGAAGCCGCTTATGCAGCAATAATATACATCAAAATCGGTTTACATATAAACCTATTGACTGCAAAGAGCAAAGTAGCACCAATAAAAAACAAGAAGACTATTCCCAAGCTAGAACTATGTGGAGCTCATTTATTAGCAAAACTAATGAGTAAAATAATTAAAATTTTAAATACAAATCCAAAAACTTATTGTTGGAGCGATTCTGTAATCACGTTATGGTGGCTAAAAGAACCAAAAAACAAAGAGAAGTTTGTAAGAACTCGTGCAACAGAAATTAAAAATTTAATTCCAGAAACTGAATGGCGTCATATAAGATCAAAAGATAATCCAGCTGATGTAGCATCTAGAGGCATCTGTGCAAACAAATTAAAAGATTACATGCTATGGTGGCATGGGCCTGCATGGTTAGTAAAACCAAAGGAAGAATGGCCAAATGATGAAAAATTAAATGGAATGTCAACAGTTATCACGACTTTAATTTCAGATAATAATTTTTTGAGCGATTGATAGAAAAAATATCAAAAATATCGAAACTAGAAAGAACGGTAGCATATGTTTTACGATTTATTAACTGTTTGAAAAATAAATCAAAAAATTCAAATCATTTATCAAAGGAAGAACTAGATAAAGCAAGAAATAAAATAATTCGTCAGCACCAACTTACACATTTTTCTTCAGAAATATCAAGCATTAAACAAGGGAAGGAAATAAATATGAATAGCAAACTAATTCAATTACGACCATTTATAGATAAAAATGGAATATTAAGAGTAGGAGGAAGACTACAAAACGCGAACATTACATATAATCAAATACATCCAGTGATTCTAGCTAAAGATCGATATTCAGAATTAGTAATATATCAAGCACATCAATCAACACTACATGGTGGGCAATCATCGATGGAAGCACATATAAAACGACGATTTTGGATATTAGGGATGAGGAAAACTATAAAAAAGATATGCCACAAGTGTATAAGATGCACTCGATTCAATCAAAATTTTGCTAAACAAATAATGGGATATATACCTAGTTACAGAATAAATACATCCCATCCATTCGAACATCCAGGTATTGATTACGCAGGAGGTATTCTAAAGGTCGCGGTCAAAAATCATTCAAAGGTTACATCGCAGTATTTGTATGCATGTGCACAAAAGCAATTCATTTAGAGGCAGTAAGCGACTTATCATCAGAAGCATTTATAGCTGCATTAAAAAGGTTCTTTCCAAGGCGTGGGAAGAGTGCACATTTATATTCAGATAATGGCACTAATTTTATTGGCGCATTAAAAAAATTAGATAAAGAGTTTGGAAATGCGATCAAAAATAATACATCGATGTTACCAATTCTTGCAGCAGAAAAAATTGAATGGCATTTTATTCCTCCAGCAAGTCCGCATTTTGGCGGTATATGGGAAGCTGCTGTAAAATCCGTAAAATATCATTTGAAGCGCGTAATAGGTGAAACAAAACTAACATTTGAAGAGATGACTACACTTCTAAATCAAATTGAAGCAGTACTCAATTCACGACCACTTTGTTATACAAGTAGCGATATAGACAGTATTGATGTTCTTACACCTGGACATTTCTTAATAGGTCGTCCAATATTAGACGAACCAGAAACTGAAGTCAAAAATAATATAAGTTTAATAGACCGTTCGAAACTTGTACAAAAAATTAAAACAGATTTTTGGAAAAAATGGAAAAATGAATATGTCACGTCTCTACAAAAACGAAACAAATGGTTTAGAGAAAAACCGAACTTAGCAGAGGGGCAAGTAGTAATTATTAAAGACGAAAATACCGCGCCTACTAGATGGCCATTAGGAAAAATTACAGAAGTATTTAAAGGTAAGGATGGAAAAGTACGAGTAGTAGAGCTTAAAACTAAAAATGGAAAATTAAAAAGACCAATTCACAAACTTTGCTCCTTGATGGATTCTGACACAATCTATGATAAGAACCAGGCGAAAACAGACGAAGCTTATTGCAACTTAAACATAAAATCAAACGTAAAATTAAGAACCACAAAGCTAGCATGGGCCACCTTGTATTTTTTAATGTTATGTGTTTTACCAACAGTAAAAGCAGTGGTAAAATCATCAGTTGCGTCAGTACATGAACTAAATAATAAAACAACGTTATATTTGGACATGATTGGAGAAGTCACTTCAGAAACATCAGCTTGGAATCTAATAATATATTATGATATGCAACCATACTTTGATATGGCTAAAAACGCAGAGGATATTCTTAGCAAAGCTAATAATATATGTCCCAAATTACTAAATTTTGCTGACCAATGTAAGAATATATTAAATACAATGCTGAGAAAATTATCAGATATAAACGATGGTAATAAGTTATTTATATGGTCTGTACGAGAAAGGAGAAAAAGAGCGCCGTTGGCATTCATTGGTTCATTTTATCACCTCCTATTTGGAATGATGGATGAAGATGACCGAAAAGCTTTAGAAGAAGATATGAATAATCTTCTAGAAAATCAACATAATTTAAAAAAGATGACTGAAAGACAAACGTCGGTAGTAGAAACAACAGTAAATATATTAAAACGCACATCCGAAGAACTTCAGCAACAATACAATGAAATTCATGAAAGAGTTGAATCCATAAACACTGCTTTGAATGAAACTTATCTTGTTTATAAGGAATCAATAAATTTTTTTATGGTAGCAAGACAGTTATCAGATATGATAGAAGAATGTTCTCAAATTCAATCTGAAGTAATGGAACTCTTAATGGGCGTTAACCATGGAAAATTAAATCCAGCACTTATAAAACCATCACAGTTACATCGCGAAATAATAAAAATAAGAGATATAATTCCCGAAAATCAAATGCTACCTGGTAAAAAACTGGAACGGAGTTAGAACCCATATACAAGTTATTAAAAGCAAAAGGGCTATTTATTGGAAACAAATTAGTAATTAACGCAAAAATTCCACTGTTCAGCAAGCAATCATCTACGATATATAAAATAATACCTATATCAATCAATCAAGGTGTAAAATATATAATTCCGAAAGTTATGTCATCATTTTTACTATATAATCTCGAAATAAATGCATATCAATTGATGGATCCTCTGACATGGAGTCAATGCAACAAGATAGAAGAACAACAATTTACTTGTAAAGGTAATTTTCCGTGGAAGGATGCAAACGATAATTCTTGTGAAATATCACCACTAAAACCAACTAATCAAGATAATTGTCACTACGAAGAAGTAAATAATTCTTCCATTTGGGTCAAATTATACCGACAGAATAGTTGGATATTCAAAACTTTTAGACAAGAATCTGCCCACATTAGATGCTCAAATTCAATGGAAGAAATAATAACTCTATCAGGTCAAGGCATTCTATCACTAACAGAAGGATGTATGGCACGTATAAGAGAAACAACATTAACATCCTCTAGTAATCTGCAAAGCTCCACGATAGTAGAAGTAATCAAGCCAGTTACTAAAGATGCAATTATAATAAATAATAGTAATATAAAACCCTGGCACCATTGGAAAATAAATAACAAAGAAGAAATTAATCAAATAAATAAGCAACTAAACGATATAAAGAGTAACGCAGTAAAGCTAAAAGATTTGCATTTTCATCACGTATCTGGGCACGCAGCACTTGGGTTAACTTCAATAGTGATAATAGCAATAATAATCTACCTAGTTCGAGCAACAACAAGAAGAAGACAACTACTAGCTATTGCAATTTCTACCCGCCGGCAGAATCTTCTGGAGTGAACATAGATTATAAGTTATGAAAAATTGTACGAAATTTAAAAATATACTTTCATGCATAATGTTAATACAATCCTATTATATTATTTTTAAAAAAAAAAAATTATTATATTTAATTCAACCTTTTGTAACTATGTCAGATTATATTTTATTATATATCTATATATAATTACGCTAACATAAAAGTTTGTTACCCCGTTTTAACTGTGTTGCCGTTGACATATATGGATAAAATTTATACCGTTGGAAAGGTGAAGACGTGCAGAAGAGCACAACGTTATTTTTTCGCATGTACGTTAACGGAAACACAGGTAAAAATGCGTTGGCGTAAATTTAGCGACTACAACAACAAAATACATGTGTTTTTCAAAGTTTTTTTTTGTGACGAATTGTTAATTGTTTACGGTGGATTTGTGTGTGCGATTTTTTTCCACTTTTGGAAAAAAGTGGACTTTGTGTGTTTGGACTTTGTGTGTTTGGACTTTGTGGATTCTGTTACAATCAGATTTTTAAAGCTCATTAAATTTCAAATATTGTTTGTGAATAAAAAAAACGCATTGAAGTGGAAATATCCTTTGATATCAATCGTTTTATTTGCATTGTGTGATAGTTAAATTTTAATTGTGATAAATTTTAATTTTGATAAATTTTAATAGTGATATATTTTAATTGTGAAATGTGGATAGTTAAGGTTAATGAGTTTGAAATTTTTAGATTTATTTCAAGTGTATTGTGTGATAGTTAAATTTTAATTGTGATGAATTTTAATTGTGAATTGTGTGATAGTTAAGGTTAATTAATTGGTTGAATCGACATTAACAACACTTCAATTCGAGAGATATTCATTTTGTACAATGAAAGAACATTATGATAGAGTATGCAATGCACAAAAAGAGATTTGTATGGCAATTATCGTGAATCGTGATACAGATATACGAAGATATAATATTTACGACTATAGATGGTGAACCACCATTTGAGAGAAATATGATATCTTTTTTAAAAACAAATGGTGTAGTTAAGAATGTATTAGTATTAGATTCTGCTTTGGAACCATTGGCATATCCTTTACTATTCCCAAATGGAGGTTTTGGTTGGCACGTTAATATATCGCATAACGTGCAACATAATTCTAATGGTAGGCAGATTCGAAATAAAGTTACAATGTTACAATTTGCATGCTTCAGATTTGCAATAAGGGATCAATTTAGCTTTTTGCATAAATCGCAAAAACTGTTTTTGCAATACATTGTTGATATGTACGTGAGAATAGAAGGATGTCGACTACATTTTATAAGACAGAATCAAGTAAATTTGAGGGCAGATGTGTATAACAATATTAGTGATTATTTGCAAACGAATCAAGTAGGAGATGGTAGCTTAGGTCGTAAAGTGATTTTGCCTTCATCCTTCACTGGGTCTCCGAGAAACATGTATCAAAATTACTTAGATACAATGTCAATTGTTCAGTACTTCGGCAAGCCATCGCTTTTTGTTACAATGACTTGCAATCAGAATTGGGCGGAAATTGTATATAATATTGATCCTAATGAATCATCTCATTTCAGGCCTGAAATAGTTGTGCGTGTATTTAAATCGAAGTTAAAAGAACTCATTTCTGACATTTGGAATAAATATATTTTTGGCAAAGTTGAGGCTCTTATATATACAATCGAATTTCAAAAAAGAGGTTTGCCTCATGCTCACAGTTTGATAACTTTATGTGAAAATGACAAAATTGTCGGGCCGGCTGATATTGATAAAATAGTTTGTGCAGAGATACCGGATAAAAATTTGCAGCCAAAATTACATGAATTTGTTGTCAAACACATGATGCACGGTCCATGCGGTGTTTTGAATCCAAGCTCTGTATGTATGCAAGATGGAAAATATTCAAAACAATTTCCAAAGGATTTTGTACAATTAACGAAAGAATCAGTTAATGGTTATCCGTTGTATAGACGGCGCGATAATAATGTTTCCGTTGATGTTAGAGGAAAGTCTTTAGATAATCGTTATGTCGTTCCATACAACCCGTATTTGTATGCAAAATATAATTGTCACATTAATGTCGAGGAGTGCACTTCCGTCAAAAGTATTAAGTACATATATAAATATGTATATAAGGGTTTTGATAGTGCAACTGTTTTAATTCAAAGTGAAAGCACAAACGAAAATGACTAACAAGTACAAGTTGAAGTAGATGACGTTAGAAATTTTTTGAATGGTCGATATGTGAGATCAACTGAGGCTATGTGGCGAATATATGAATTTCCTATGCATTTTCAGTCTCATATTATAATTCGTCTTGACATTCATTTGCCACAAAGACAAAATATTATATTTCGCGAAGGCCAAGAAAGACAAGCAGTAGAAAATCCTAAGCTTACGAAGCTATTAGCTTTCTTTCAATTGAATCAAAGTGATTCATCTGCTAATCAATATACGTATATAGAAATTTCATTGCATTATGTTTGGATTGATAGTAGAAAATCTTGGCAAAAAAGACAATGAGGAGGAGATAAAATTATTACTCGGATGTATATGGTGTCTCCCAAAGAAATTGAGCAATTCCATTTAAGATTACTTTTGTTGCATGTAAAAGGGCCAAAATCATATGAAGATGTGCATACATTCAATGGAATTGTTTATAGGACATTTATCGAAGCATGTCATGCTAGGGGAATTGCGTCCAATTATAACGAGTGGAGAGTTTCTCTCAATGAAGCTAAGACATTTAACTCAGGAAAACAAATGCGTAATTTGTTTGCGATTAATTGTGCCTTCAATATTCCAGCAAATGCATTAGCGCTTTGGGTGGAATTTAGAGATAATTTAAGCGAAGATTTCGTTAGAGATGGTTGTAGTGTAGATGTTTCTTTTAATAGAGTATTATTGGAAATCGAGTATATTTTGTTAACACATAATGTTACATGTACGTCACTTGGTTTGCCTACACCTACAATAATGCCAGAATTTGCTGATCTCGATATTTTTGATCCTTTCGTAGAAGAATGTTTATTTAATGAGCTTTATGATTGCGCAAATAATGAACAGCGTGATACTATTGATAAAGTTATTCGTGAAGTTCAGTATCACGATACAGGATCAAATGTGTTTTGTTTGACAGCCCATGCAGGTTGTGGGAAAACATTCACACAAACGGCTATAATTCGTAAATTAAATTCCCTTAATCTTCGCTGTATTTCATGTGCATTTAGTGGTATTGCTTCCACTTTATTGATTGGTGGAAAGACACTCCATAATGTTTTTAAACTGCCTATAAATCTGATGGAAAATACAGTTCCGAATATAAAAAAGTAGTAGTTATGCCAGATTTATTAATTCGGCGGCATTATTTATAATAGCAGTAATGATTGCAAATTGTATTACGAGTTGGGCAGAATTCCCGTTTTTCAATCATATAACGTTAACTCAAAATATGAGAGCACTCCCCGAAGAGTTGGAATTCGTTCAATTTCTAAAGGGAATTGGCAATGGTGAAGATTTAGTAGAAATTCCAGCAAATTTGATAGGTGTTGAATCTAACACAGTACATGATATTTTTGGAGATATTAATGAAACCATTTTATCAGATAGAATGTTGAAGTCAGTTGTGTTAGCTCCAACTAATGAAGATTGTGGACTTATCAATAACGATGTATTGAATCGCATCGCTGGTGAAAAAAAGGTTTACTACAGTTTTGACAGAATTATTTGCGAGGATAACAGTGAGGTGTGCAACTATCCAGTAGAATTTTTGAATACTTTGATTGTAAGTGGTTTGCCACCACATAAGTTGGAGCTCAAGATTAATGCGATAGTTTTGTTAATTCGAAATTTAAATACGAAGCAAGCATTAGTGAATGGGACGAGAATGCGAGTCAAAGCAATGCATAATAACACAATAGATTGTGAAGTACTCACTGGAGTTGCTCGCGGAAAACGTGGTTTGATTCCACGCATACACTTGACGTATTCAGGGACTGCACTGCCATTTAATTTTCAAAGAACACAGTTTCCACAGTCATCAGCGCATTTGCTATGACAATTAACAAATCCCAAGGACAGACATTTGATAGAGTTGGAATATTGTTGAGGAGACCTGTTTTTTCGCATGGT